TAGTGTGGCAATGATCTGGCAGGCTGAAATTCAGCTGACCACTACGTTAACAGTGCTATGGGTGACTTCTCTTTCCGCTTGCAGCAGTGTTTCTTCAGGCTTGAGAAGCGTATCTATTAGAAATACAGTGTCTCTGTAATACAAGTCCTGAAAAGGAAGGTGTCGTTTCTGCACAGATATTTTCCAGAGTGGAACTGCACTTGAAATTTAGCCAATGACACATTTGCCAGTGACACCAAGCAGTGTGGTGCAGTCAACACACTGGAGGGAAGGGATGCCATCCAGAGGGACCTTGATAGGCTTGAGAGGTGGGCTTGTGCGAACCTTATGAAGTTCAACAAGGCCAAGTGCGAGGTCCTGCACGTCGGTCATGGCAATCCCAAGCAAAAACACAGGCTGGGTGGGGAACTGATTGAGAGCAGCCCTGAGGAGGACTTGGGGGTGCTGGTTGACGAGAAGCTGAACATGACCCAGCAATGTGGCAGAAAGCCAACCATATCCTGGGCTGCATCAAAAGCAGCGTGACCAGCAGGTCGAGGGAGGGGATTCTGCCCCTCTACTCCGCTCTGGTGAGACCCCCCCTGCAGTACTGCCTTCAGCTCTGGGGCCCCCAACCAACATGAGAAGGACATGGACCTGTTGGAGCGAGTCCAGAGGAGGCCACGAAGGTGATCTGAGGGCTGGAGCACCTCTCCTGTGAAGACAGGCTGAGAGAGTTGGGGTTGTTCAGTCTGGAGAACAGAAGGCTCCAGGGAGACCTTAGAGCAGCCTTCCAGTACCTAAAGGGGCCTACCAGAAAGCTGGGGAGGGACTTTTTACAAGGGCATGTAGTGACAGGACAAGGGGCAATGGCTTTAAACTGGAAGAGGGAAGAATATCTATCCCAATTAGATATTAGGAAGAAATTCTTCACTATGAGGGTGGTGAGGCACTGGAAGAGGTTGCCAAGAGAAGCTGTGGATGCCCCCTCCCTGGCAGTGTTCAAGGCCAGGCTGGATAGGGCTTTGAGCAACCTGGTCTGGTGGAAGGTGTCCCTGCCCATGGCAGGGGAGTTGGAACCACATGGCCTTTAAAGTCCCTTCCAACCAAACCATTTTGTGATTCCATTAAATTATGTATTTTTTAACTCTTGACAAAATCATTGCAGGTCTGGGGTGGACATCTGTTCAATTTCCTTCCAGGTTGTGCTCCTGTAGGAATTGTGCTGTGGAGTGGTGTCTGGTCAGCAAATGCTACTTTCCACTGTGGCAGAAAACTGGACAAACTCAACATGAAAAATGGAGGTACGTTGCTAGTTCAATCTCTCTTTCACAGCACATGGCTGGAAGAGATGTTCTCACTTCCTTGCGAGTTGTGTGACTATCTGAGCACACTGGGCTTCTTGATAGCTAGTAAATCTATCAGCAAAATGACAGCAAAATGATTCTACCACAGAATGTAATTTTTCAAATCCAATTGAAACCTCAACATGGCAGAGGTCCTGTTTAGTGTTCTGAAATGAGGATGATTCAAAAAGATCACAATTTCATAATATGCTTAAAGTCATCTTTACATACCTATTTAAAACCCTGCAATGTTAATAGAAATCATATTTCACATTTATATCACAGACAATATCACAGTACTGTGGACTTAGCAACAACTTATTGGTACTGTTCCTTGCTGGGTCTATGTCTTACAACAGGCTTAGTGATAACATGCAATTAAGTTCCGCAATGGGGGGGAGGGGGGGTGTGGTTAATGCACACCTGTTTCTAAAATAAGGTGTCACTAGACCATTTTTGGTACAAACAGTTATATGTCAGTGACATTTCCCTTTTTAAAAAGAGCTAGCGTAAGAGCAAAGTTGTGCCTGCGTGCACGCACGCTGCGCACGCTGCGGTTTGCAGATGCATTGCCAAGTTCCTCTGCCTGACGTCGCACAGAAACATTAAACTCTCTCTGGAGCAGAAAGACTTAAGCGAGGTTTGTGGATCAATACTACTGATACTAGCAGTATTCCAGTTCAGCACTATTTTGACAGTAGAAATTAATGTTTCTCCTCTTACAATCAGGCCTATATTCTCAACTCAGTGCACAAGGGTTTATGAGCCTGATCTGAAACCTGCTGAAGTGAAAAGAAATCATTCCTTTTAATGCAATATGTTTCCGATCAGTCCAGCTATTTATTAACAATACTTGCAGTGTTAGGCATCAGCTTTTGTACTTCCAGGATGAAAATAAACCCCAAATTACTGGTGAAATCTTTTACAGTACTTTGTGCAACTTTTAAAATGTATTTCTATGTAATTCTAGGTATGGAATCATGACCAGACCATGTACACATACCACACAACCCTGTCAGCTTTTGCACGAAATGTTAGTTACTATCAGCCAAGCTAACTAACAACCTTCACTGAAAAATAAGTCACACTTGTTTTGAGGTATTTCTAAATGCTAAATTCATCAGGCACAAGAAATATACAGTGACTGGGAGTTTTTTGCCTTTTTCTTCTAGTATATGGTTACAAACTATGACAGCCAGAAAAAAATGGATGCAACAAGTCTCAAAATCTCAGTTCATCTGAAAGCAAAATTATATGGACTGCAACTATACACTCAAGCATCTGCAGACAGTTACCTCTGCAAAGTGAATTCCTGAACTTGGTGTCACTTCATGGCCATCAGGCAAGTAAAAGATTGCACCAGATGTACCTCTAGGCTTTCCAAGGGCAGGAGAGTTTGCACCTTGTATTATTAGTCCTAGCACCTTAGTTGTACCTTTCAGGATCTGTTTTCCTCACTAATATGAATTTTCTCCCTATACTAAATCTCAACGCTTGTATATTGTTTTTTCTTTAGTGTGCAATTTGTTCCATGTCTCTGAACAGGATATTCCCTCTAGGCATTTCTTCATCTGGCATAGCTTAATGCAGACTAGATTTAGACATTCAATTTAGTATTGTTTAGGCTCTTTGAGTGGCATTTTCAATTTAAAATAATTTATCCAGCTTTCACATAAACAGTAAATACACTTTTTGATACTGCCCAATCTAAAAGCTGAACCTTATACAAAAATCAGCAAGAAAACAGTCAGGCAGTTTTTCAAAACGAAACAAATATTTCTAAGAATGAGGTGCCTCCAATAAAAATTCTGCCATGCTCAAACATTGCAGTAGTACATGAGTAATAATGCATGGCAGTAGATCAGGCTTTCGCTTTTCCTGTTAAAACCACTATTTACTAATACACAGTTGCCTTTGACAAGGCAACTGCTTCTTGCCTTCATTGAAAAAACGACCCAAATAATTTCGTGTCATTTTGCTCTCCTTCTCCCTGGCTGTCCTCTTGGCGGTACATCATGTTGGTGTCCATGAAGCAGTCCCACATTTGGCACAGTAGCAACCAGGGTGAGGAGAACGCGGGTAAAATCACCCCAGTGCTGAGATTTTTCAGGTTTAGTTCAAAGCACCACGTGAACCTCTGGAGACAGCCAAACCTCTGGTGAGCTGACTGGCTGTGGGAGCCTGAGGAAGGCACTCTGCTGACACCACTGACCTGTCTCTTGGTTTATCACCATCTGCTTCGTGTGAGTTTCCATCCTGCCTTCTGCTTCCTCCTCAGCCTTCATGATAATGCTACCCACAATACTCTTTCTGTCTTTCTTTCCCAGTTAATCCTGGACTTTTTCCTCACCATCCTCTACACCTCTACAAAACACTCGCTTGAGCCAACAGGGCATTAACGTGCTTTTTCTCTCCCCGGCAGGGACTCAGGTCTGGCACTCTTTAATTGAAATGCCAGAAAGAGTTCTGGTTTAAAATAAAGGTCACAGGATCTTGTTTGTCTTGCCTCAACCATCCCACCCAAGCCTGCTATGACAGCGTGGAGTGTGGCTCCTCTGGGACACCAAGCTTACGGCAGGTTAAAGCAGCAAGCACATAACTTGGTGGTGTTAAATCATAAATAAGACAGCAGCAGCAGCCACCTCCTCTAAGCACAGAAAGCAGAAGCTTCCCTGTAACTCATTTAAGTCCTCTCTTCAGAGGCAAACCCTCTCTGTTAGATTCCTGAAATCTGCTTTACTTTGGGGAGTACAGCTCTTCAGTTAAGCACAGAAATTAGTCCAGCAGCGCAGTCCCTGGCGGCAGAAGACTCCAGAGCAGGCACAGCATGAAAAGCATTGCCTGCCTGCCTTAAGATTAATTTCCCCCCAGTATTCACTAGAGTTCAGCACCACTGGCATTGGTGCATTCAGCCCTTGGGGCAGGCAAGAAGACAGCCGTACCACCAATGTGTGAAGTGCTTAGAAAAATGGTGTAAAAAAGCCAAGGGAGAAAATCAGCATCCTATTCCATCCATTTTTAGCCTGCCTGTTTTGATGGCCCTGAAACACTGCACCTTGCTGCTGTGATGCTGGTGCTAGTGTAGGTAACAGGAGAGAGCAGGGCAGATGCAGGAAAATGTCCACAAGCCTGCAATTAAGAGCATCAAATCTCAAAGTGCAAAGGTAAAAAGCAGTGATGGAAAAAGGGTGATCGACAAGAAGGTCGCTGGCAATTTGACTGTTCTCTAAGGTCCTGGGCGGCAACCTTCCCTTCATCATCAAAACCACATACCCAACAAATTGAGGATGAAAAACAGTTACCATTACTATCAAGTTTCCTTGTGCATGTGTTCATGAGTAGCTATTCACATGCACAGACATTTACTGACACAGTCAGGTAGCTCTCTGTTAGTCTTCTGTGAGCAGGTTAGGTAAGTGTTGCATACTCAAACTTCACATGACTGATACAAAGACTAATCTGGGACTAACTCATTTTGCAAACGTGCAGATTTCTAAATTTCTAAGTTTTCTTAATTTGTGCATTTAAAGAAAAGAGCTGGCAAACAATATCAAAAGCTGCATTAACCTGCAGAATGTTTCAGTTGTTGAAATTTTTGTGCATTTGTCAAACATATCATCTAGGATCCGGGCTTTGACTGACCTGGCAAATGATGAAATGATGGCTTTCGTGTATTGCAGTGAGAAATGCATTTATTTCATACACAGGCTGATCATCAACTTTAAAAAGACAGCTAGCACTATCATTATTTTCACAGGGAAAGTACATTTTCTCCCCCCCACCTTAATGTTCATATCTAACAAAACTTGTTTTCCGCTCAAAAGTACTGCTGTGTATATCACTAGGTGCACGCTCCATCTGAAGGATTCAATTTTCTCTCCAGGCTTAGGGTGATTATGTGGCTGAGCACTAACTACGATTACTGATGATGTGAGGGAGAGCTGTGCGTGCAGCATTCATCGGTGAAGACTAGATGTCTCTCCCTTGCACCCCTCTTCCCCTCCCTGTCCCCTGATGCTTTAATTGTCAGTTTTCCTGAAAGTGTGAAGCAGGGGATTAGCTGTGCTTCACGAACTCCGGCAGTTCCATTCCCGTGCGCAGGGCAAGCACTCCAGCCTTCTCCAGGGCAAAGGCTGGGTGAGCAGCATCAGTGAATTTGTGCCTGATGGCGAACAGCACCAGTCCTCTCTCTGCATTGAAGAACAACAGTCTGCCACCACTGTAATCCAACAGGATGCCAATCCTGGCTGGGTGTTCCGTCACATGGACATCGCTCATCACACCAGTGTGAAGAAATCTGTAAAGCAAGCTGCAGGAAGAAGGAAACCAGGATACAGTGAGCTTCCTCACGGCGATTTACCAGAAATAACCTATGGCTTAATTCCTGCCTATTAACAGGTGGCCACATACAGCAGCATATCATGTGGCAACAGCATTTTGCTCAGTACGTAAGCAAAACAAATATGGCATCACTTCAAAGTGATGGCATGCTGATGAGCCCTTTCACTTGGCATCTTTGGAGTTTCAGGATAAAAGCAGGCTTGCTGTAATCATATTCATCTATATCTTTCTTATTATATGTCTTTGTGGGAATTTAAGCATAAGCTCTGCTTTGGCAAAAGTCTTTGCATCTCAGATGTTTCATTTAGCTGGTTATGTTCATGTATCTATATGACTTCACACTTTAAAAAGCACACTTTTTTAGATCAGGAGCACCTGTACACCGTTAACAGGGTTATGCCTTACAAACCTCCAAGCAGCCTGGCACTGGCCTGCTGAAGACTACCCCAGTGCCCTGCAGTCCTGCCGCCATGGCAGGTGGGTGCCTGTCACTGTGAAGGACAAGGCAGGAGAAGGCATTCCCTATGGATGCTTGACATCTCCTGCAGATTCTAAAAGACTGCACTTATGGAAATAAATACGCTTCCTGGTATTTTGTGAAGCAGTTCAGGCTATTAGCGTGGAATGACAAAGCAGTGGCAAATTATTTTTTTAAATTTTGTTCACTGGCTGGGTGAAGGGCAGAAAACTAGTCTGTTTGAGATTAATTTTATTTTTTAAGGTGCTTTATAAGATTTTTTTAATTGAGAGGAGGTCTAAAGCTCCTTTTTAGTTGTCCTTTTCTTATTACTCAAATCTGCAGAAGGAAAGCATCTGCTCTCAGGATTCCTGAAGCTGGCCAGCTTTATTTATGTGAAGGACAAGTAACTTCCCAAGCAGCTAGACTGACTCAGCTTTACCTGGTTTGTGTAGGACAGCACCACATGCACCAGGAGGTATCACTCAGCCCCAGGATGCTGGTCTGTGATGTTGCCTCATAGCAAATCCCAATCCTGTAGTTTCTGCAGGCAGAGACAACGATTTCCCAGTAATGATGTCCCCGAGCAGGCAGCAGTTCACCCAGGACTGAAGGAAACCTGTTTGTGGAAAAGGCATACAATAAAGTGAGTGTGGTGGTAGACAAACGATATTGTGATATTTCTTATAGTCACATCCTGCAGCAGTACGTAAAATTACTAATGGATTACACTCTGTTCTTCTAATTGCAGGGGTTTATGAAAGATTTGGATGTTGACACTGGGAGTCATTTCATCTTTGCGCTGAGATGGACTCATCTTAAGGACTGAAACGTATGCAACTTTACCCAAAATTATATGAAGCGAGCAAAAGGACTTATGAGGAAAAAAATGGACCTCATATTTAGAAGGCTTGTTCAAACTAGAAAGTATGGCTGTTTTAAGTAGACATGGCGACAAACATCTTGTGTGCGCTCAGCTGTAACAGCAAAAAAGTGCTTAAACTAGTAATACCTCATTACCTTTTAAGAAGCCATATCAGTATGGCACAACTTATACAAGTGGACCTGTGCTTGTGACGGGACTGATATCAGTATGTCAAAAAAAAATAATCATGTTTGCATTGGATGGGGCTAGCCTAGTACAACTGTTCTAAACATATCCCAGGAGCACTTCCTAGTTCGCCATAGCCACAGGTGCTTTGGAAAACATTACCGATAGTGCCCTCAGTAGAGGAGCAAAGTACAGAAGATGGATTACTTTCAGCCACAATATATCAAAAAATAAGCCTACAAATCTCAGGGCAGCAACAAATTGTTTCGAGACTGAAGTGCTCTGAAGGATTAAGCAGTGACTATGGACAGAGACAAACCCAGCAGCCCCAGTAGGTACCACTGCCTTTGACTTTCTGGTGGTTCCTCAGTGTGAAACTGAACTCTTCCCAGCACCTACATCAATGCTGCTAGTGGCTTTATTGACATACTGCAGTGCTTGAAAGGGGGGTCAATCACACGAAGTCCAGGGGCTGCATGACTGAAATGATTCAGTTCTACAAAATTAGTTAGCGTCATGTGAAAGCTACCTATAGGCAAAAATAAGTGAGGGACCCATCCTGAACCCCACAGGGTGGTCATGCTCACCATGCTGCTACTCACCCAGTGAATTTGGTTTTCTCAGGAAGGCGGATTACTGATGCATTGGAGAGGATCTGCAAAGCAGGATGGGCTGTGTCAGTCAGCAGGCGAAATCGAGTTCCTGGTACAATTCATGACAAAGAAACACCAGTTATGAGAGGCTGGCAACTTCAACATGAGATGAACCATAAAATGTTAAGCAACAATTACTGCCATCTTAGCTGAACAGAGTTATGTCTGCTGGCAGGTAGAAATGACAGAAAACTGGGTGTGAATGCAAGTGGTCTTCTAAGCTGTGCCTGACTGGGACGGCACTCTAATACATAGAAGCGTAGCTAGGTAATAAAGAAGTCTTCAGTATTTAAGAACATTGAATAATTTTCAATCAATTGCATTTTCAAAATAGCAAATTTGAATTTTGAGGCTGATTTCAAAGAACCATACCTGATTTAGCTCTATTTATCTGGAAACCTTAAAGTTTAAATCATCCATTACATTTTAAAACTGCTCTGTGTGCTTCCTCATCCCTGAAACGCGAAGTCCATAAGGTTTTAATTGTAAGGGTTTTTTTTAAGGTCATGGCATCTTTTATCGAAATGTGTTCTGCCAAACTCAAGCAAACTAAGATGCCTGAAGAATATTTAATCATTTCATATCTCTGACAGAATTAAACATTTTTGCTTCTGAGGTCACATCAGTTTTATATTGACATAAATATACAAACTCCAACTGAAGTAGTCTGTGATTGTGCTAATTTTAAGCAGATAAAATACAGTCCCTTTTATCTCAATAACCTGCTCACTCCTGGATTGGAAAGCTCAGGTATGATTTCCAGAGGAGAATGCCATCTTTGGCTGCTTTGCTCCTCCATTCCATTGTTCTGACAGAAGATGATAATCTACCTTTAGTTGAGATGAGAGCTGCTTCACTTTGTTCACTTGTCCCAAATGGGTTGACAGCCCTCAAGTAGAAGAAATAGTTCACATTGGGCTCCAGGGATACTTTCAGTTCAGGTCTCTTTATATCAGCAAAAGATCTGCAAATTTTAAAGATTTTCACACATGAAAAGGAATACGGACATTCAAACTAGGAAAGACTAATTTATGCAAACAGCTAAGCGATCTAACAGTATTGTTGACTACTGAAAAAACAGGCACCGTAGAGAAACTCCAATTCAGAAAGGCAAACACTGTTTTCACAAACAACTGGGTTACATAGGAGCTTCAGGATTTTACTCGAGGGATCCTCCTCACCTTGTCTGCCAAATTTTCAGACCTTTGTTCCTGTACCACCGTCTCACTCAATGCAGTCATTTGCTGTAATGCTCACTTTATGTTCATTTTGCAGTGTAAGTCATCACATAAAATGCAAACAGTGCAGAATCACTGTTATCTGCCTCCTGTGAAAAGTCTGCTTTACAAAATGAACAAGCTTCTGAAGAAAAAAACCTTTAAATTGATTCAGTTGCATGACAGTGAATGCACTTGTTGTGTTTGTACTGTCTGGGCACATGCTTCAGATCCAAAAGAATGGATACCCTTATCTGAGATTGCACAGAAACCATGCACTTCTTATGAATTCCTTGCTCACAAATTGTTCATCAACAAAGTCTTGGCTCTCTCTCCCTCATGGTGGTGTGCACTCTAACAGGTTGGTTTTGTAAGAGGCAGCAGCAGGGGAACTGCCTTTGCACAGTGCCCTGCTTTGACTAAGTCTCCCATTGTGGTGCCTCAAAAGCTCCAGCTCTCACATCCTCAACCACTGATGTCTTGACACACTTCTGGAAAGTGAGAGTCAGCACCCACTCAATCTGCTTCGCAGGCGCTTTGAAGTGCCAGTGAAAGTACTTTGGGCGGCTAGAAATGTGCCAATTTTATTTTCTATATTGTCAGGAGTATGAAAGATTGGCTTAACAAATTCTCATACACTGAATCCTAATTTTCCTCGTTTTTGCCTCGTATGATAACGGCAAAGTCAGACAGCATATACCCACCGCATTGTATGCCTGCAGGTAAAGACTGTTTATCTGTATAAAGTAGATAATTTCCTCCCAGAAATGCTTATAGGAATCTTCAAGGCAAGTATTTAAAGTCACGAACAGGAGACTGGACCACAGAATCACAGAACTGATGAGGTTGGAAGAGACCTCTGGGATCATCGAGTCCAACTTCTGCCCTAACACCACCATGTCAACTAGACCATGGCACTAAGTGCCCCATCCAGTCTTTTCTAAAACACCTCCAGGGATGGTGACTCCACCACCTCCCTGGGCAGCCCATTCCAATGCCTAACCACCCATTCTGTGAAGAAATGCCTCCTCATTTCTAGCCTGAACTTCGCCTCGCAAAGATTCAGACTATGTCCTCTTGTCCTACCACTGCTTGCCTGGGAGAAGAGACCCACCCCCACCTGGCTACAGCCTCCTTTCAAGTAGTTGTAGAGGCCGATCAGATCTCCCCTCAGCCTCCTCTTCTCCAGACTAAACAACCCCAGCTCCCTCAGCCGTTCCCCATAAGACTTGTTCTCCAGGCCCTTCACCAGCTTTGTTTCCCTTCTCTGGACATGCTCCAGCACCTCAATGTCTTTCTTGAAGTGCGGGGCCCAAAACTGGACCCAGTACTCCAGGTGCAGCCTCATCAGTGCCCAGTACAGGGGGACGATCACTGCCCTGGACCTGTTGGCCATGCTATACCTAATACAAGCCAGGATGCCAGCCACACTGCTGGCTCATGTTCAGCCAGCTGTCAACCAACACCCTCCGGCCTTTTTCCGCTTGGCCACTTTCTAACTAACAGCCTGTAATGCTGCATGGGGATTTTGGGGCCGAAGTGTAGGACCTAGCACTTGGTTTTTTGAACTTCATGCTGTTGGTCTCAGCCCATCAATCCAGCCTGTCCAGCTCCCTCTGTAGAGCCTTCCTACCCTCCAGCAGATCAACACTCCCTCCTAACTTGGTGTCATCTGCAAATTTACTGAGGGTGCCCTCAATCCCCATGTCCAGATCATCTATAAAGATGTTAAACAGCACCAGCCCCAAAATGGAGCCCTGGGGAACACCACTAGTAACTAGCTGCCAACTGGATTTAGCTCCATTCACCACAACTCTCTGGGCCTGGCCATCCAGCGAGTTTTCTACCCATTGAACAGTTTACCCATCCAAGCCGTGAGCAGCCAGTTTGTCTAGGAGGATGCTGTGGGAGATCGTGTTTAGGCTTTACTAAAGTCTAGGTATACAACATCCACAGCCTTTCTCTCATCTACTAAGTGGGCCACCTTGTCATAGAAAGAAACCAGATTGGTCAAGCAGGACCTGCCTTTCATAAACGTGCCTTTGGAGAGCATGCAAGGCACTTTCCCTTCAACCTCAGGTTTGAGACTGGAGCCCAGGATGGCCTCCCTCCTGCAGGTAATGTCTCTATGGGAAGCTAGACTAAAGAAATTACCTTTTCCAGCACTAATTACTGTGACCCTAGCAGAAGTAAGGCAGGCGATTCAGCAGTCAGATCAGATCATTGCTATTCATTTGCAGTGACTGTTTTTCCACCTATGTCCCACCAGAGAGCAGTACAACCTGAAGAATAATCAGTGCTCATCCATCAGGATTTTTCACATGCCTGCCTCTGCTGCATTTATCACATAAAGGTAAAATCCCACAGCCCTACACACACCAAAATCCTGCTAACACCACATAGAGCTCTGTGTCTAGAAGGATGGCACCCTGGGGAAAGACTGGTGCATCATCCTTATTAGTCTGTAACAGGTATTTTGTACTGACAGTTGTCATTTAAAGTAATTGAAAGCACTGACAAAAAGCACTGAGTGCTCCTGTGATCTGTTCTTTCAATTTGAAAGAATTTCAGAGAGTTTGGCGCTCTTGTGTGGTCAGCGTGGGGTCATACTGCCTTTGGAAAATGTGTTACATTAACACTGGAACTGATGCACTAAACAGAAGTGGGTTGCCCAAACATGGTAGCAATTGTATGGTTTGCTTCACGCCCGTGACTAACCAAAGCCCTGAACACAAGAGCACTTCAGCAAGGCATTGGGCAGGCTGGTTGGCTCTTACTGAAAGGTTCAGGGAAGGGATGCAACCTGATGAATTCCCTGATGAAAACCTGAGATCTTTAGATGTGAAAGAGGTTCATCTGAGCATAGGGAGCAAGAGAAAAAGGAAAGATGAGTCAAAGGAAAATACAAGATGGCAACTGAGTAAGGAGGCAAATATAAAATAAGTCAGAGAAAGGAAAACCGGGGTGGAACCAGAGGCGAGGGAAAAGAAGTGGGTACCTAAGCTTTGAAGAAATTTGTCGATGCTTCCTAGACAAGTGTCACTCTATCTGTTCCTTGAAGGTACCAGCCTGACATTTTGGATGTGAATCTGAAGCACAGACCATGAGAAAGAAGTTTCGAGCAAATAGTTACAAGTGAGATGAAGGGACGATACGCTAAGCTATTTGTTGGAAGTTGTTTGTGGCAACATGTAGGTCAACATGTCTTAAGCACAGTGATGCCCTCTATATGGGTCCTTCTTCTGTCTGCTGGAAAATGCCATGTAAGTCAGCATCCTTCCAAAGAAATTAGGAGATCTTTTTCACTATGTGCTATTTAACTGATGATTAGTTAATAAATTACAAAATCGTTTCTAAATCCAAGTAGACAGGTACATTCTGGTTTAGTGAGTAGACCTGGGGTATTCATGTTTAGGATCCCAGAGCCTGGGTGTTCAGAGAAGATTTTGGGTCGAGCCAATTGCAGAACAGTATTGGCCATCAAAGTTCAGACTTGGGTCTCTTCCAAATCTGAAATTCTCCAAATCAGAATTTGTTTGCATGTTTAAATCGGAAAGCAATAGCATGCCTCTTTGCAGTTGTAACAGTGAGACAGAAAAGACTGGAGTTTAAGCAGATCTGGTCAGTATAACAGTGATCAGATTTTCGAATAGCATTCTCTGCTTGGTAATCTATTTTAGCCAGCTTTAAGCTGCCTAAGAATCAAAGCCCATCAGTTTTAGCTACGATTAAGGCTTAAAAAACAGTCCCACTGCTGCCAACTAATGAAACAGAATATGCCAACAAGAAGGAACTTCATTTGCAACACTCTGACCCACGTCCAAGCTCACAAGAGGCTGTTTGAAAAGAAGAAAGAGGTCTCGCTATTGCCTCTTCTTCTGTCTAGAGGATAGGGTGAAGGGGGAAAGTGAACACTGAGGGCTCCCCAGCAATCACTAGTTTGTCATGCTTCAGGCTGACCCTGCAATCAGAGATAGAAAAGCAAGGATGAGGAGAAGGTATGATTATGGCTTAGCTTACAGCATACAGATCATGCGTAGGAGAAGGGAAGGGAAAATGCATCCTGACTGTGTTGGGGGAAGCCTGTTTCATTTCCGATTTCCTGTAGCAAGTATTACAGCTAGATCTTCCTCAAGCTCAGCTTAAGTATTGAACTGTGTAATTTTGGTCATGAAAGAAAGAGAAATCCACCTACAACATTTCTAATGTCAGCTATTTTGTACTTTAAATACACTTGCCCACTTTCTAGATGATCAGAAATGTAATAATGTTATTATCAAAGCATGAGGCATCCTAGCCTTTAGCCTAAATGTTATATTTGCACTGCCCCCACAATTTTTTGGTATCATGATACAAAATTCAGTGCATAGAAATTCAAGAAACTTTTGAAGTTCAATATTTTAAGTATCGCATCTTAATCTCTCTCTTCATAAGAGGAATCTTTAAGTCTCAAAATCCAGTTTCCAAATTTCAGGTATGCGCTTTTCAAAGCAGAACAGAAAAGAGATACATGTTTCTTCACCTTTAAATTGCTAAAGAATATTATAGTAGCCAGTGACTCTTAAATTCATTATTTCCCTAGATTTAGGGAAATCTGATGCTGTGCTTTGATGCACGTTTCTCTCATCAGCATCCTCATTTATTTCAAGGAAACAACATCTAAAGGCTATTTTTTAGTATTGCATGAACCCAGTAAATGATATGCCTCGCAGTGATTCAGAACGCCTTCTGTGCCGTAATTGTCATTTCCACCCTCAAGATTCCACTGAAACAGCACCTCCAGACCTGTGCTGGTACCACTGATGTGAAGTTAGAGCTGAAAGCATGCAAGCTACTCAAGATATGAGTAAAAGCACACAGAAGGGGTCTACCATGAGTGGAAAAAAACTTGTGAAGCTAAAAATAAAGAACAAATAGCTCTGAGTTTGCTCCCAGCTGTGTCACATTCTTCCTTTCTTCTCCTCTGTCCCAGCTCTGGTTGTTTTGGGGTTAGATCACCAAAGCATCACCCGCAATGGTCCTCGCTGCTGAGATGACAAGCCCAGCACAGCCAGAGAGGAGGAAGATTCCCTGTTTTCCACACCTTGTTTCCTGACCTGGCAGGACAGTCATGGGGGCAATGCAACAGGAGGGAGGCTTTCTCTCCTTTTTCAAGCATTAGACTTGCTCTATAAGTAGATGGAAAATTTCAGTCACTAGAAGCGCCAGTCTCGCATTGGTAGAAAGGATGACACTCAGTCAATTCCACTTTTATGAACTCACTGCGTACTGTACTAATTTCTGCCTCCCTGAGTCTTACAGATTTCTCATGATGTGATACATGGTTTCCATCTGAACAGCCCACACACCTAATCCCTGGGCTACATTTCTCTCAGTTTTCCATCTTCCACCCACAGCTCCATTGACTTCTCAACACAAAGAGGCTGAATGGCGAGAAAATAGCAGAGCTCTGGAAACTGAAAGAAACATTTCAAAGCCTCATACAGATTCTGGAAAAAGAGTCAACCCAGGAAGCTTTAAAACCACAGCAGCAGGCCAGGGACTCACTGCTGCAGAATATTTAAGATGGTTTTATATGAAAACATGTCCTTCAGGTGGCAAGCTGGCAAGGAGAGAGAGTCCAGAGGGGAAAATATAGATATGGTTTTTTTACAGAATTTAGAAGGAAACTTTCAATGGGGATTTATTTCCAGATGTGCTTCAAATTCTCTCCCTCAAGAGCTGGGACTGCTCCAGGACTGCTCCAAGGACCTCCTCGGAGACATTCAAAAGCCACCTGGGCAACTGGCTCTAGGTGGCTCTGCTTGAGCAGGGGTGTTGGACCATATGACCTTCAAAGGTCCCTTCAGACCTCAACCACCCTGTGAATCTGTGACATGCTGAAAGCTACAGGGGGCTGGCCCAGACCAGGGACTCCAAACTCATCTCCAGCTGTTCAATGGGGCCATTTCTCCCTGCCTGGCTCCTTGGCAGTGTCCCTTGCCTTGAGTGAGCTCCCAGAATGACATCGGTGAAAACTGCCTTGTGGGATGGGACCATGCTGCTTTCTCCAGGACTTTCCTTGGATGTCCTTCCCCAACCTCTGCTTTCATGCTGTGCCCTCAGCAGCAGCTGTATGAACTTCCCAGGATTGCTGAGAAATGTGTTTGAACTCCCACCCAGGGACTGGGAAATCGCTCAGCTACAGGGCCATCACAAACACAAGAGGCCCTAGCTGCCTGTCAAAGGGCTCCACATTTGGCTGGTCCCCAAGATGAGTGTTGCTCAGGAAACCACGAAGGACAAACTTCAAGCTTTCAACGAAAGCAACCAGAAACTACAGCATTTCCAGGCCCAAATGTTAAGTGTGTATAAAGAAACCTGATATAGATACTTGACACAGGAACTCTAAGCTCCCTACAGGTATTTCCAGAAGGCAGCTTCTCACTGTATCAGCTACATAAGGAACTGATGTCTAGTCCTCACTTGCACCTTGGACCTTGGGGGCCTTGGATGGGAGTTATACAGGCAGCATGCTCCATCTACCAGCGGGCTGTTTTTCCTTGGTTTTAGGCAAAAAATTAAATAGAAATCTTAAAAAAAAAAATATCTATCACTGAAACATCTTGTACCATTACAGAAGATTTTCAGGTTAATCTCTGGCTGTTGCTTTTGGAAAAGGAAAGAGGGGCATTGCTTTGACGGAAAATAAGTGGTAAAAGATGATCTTTGATATTGTAAAAAGAGGTCAGAGCCCTTCTAAAAATACAGAAATTTAAATTACAGCAATTCTGAGAAAATTCATTATTTTGTCCTGGGGGAATTTTTCACACTTGTCACAGTAAAAGGACAGCTTCTGCCCACAGGGAGGCCAAACAGTCAAATGTGACTCAGTATAATTATAACTATGTTGGATTTTGCACAAGGTCACTTGAGAAAGGGAATGGGTCAGTTCTGGCAGCTTTTTGCCACAGTTATCACCACACAAGCGAACTTCTTGGTGTTATCAACACCTCGCTCATGGACTACAGAAACCAGCAAGCACACTTTCTGGTTCAGTTTTGAGAGAAAGCAGCAACTCCAGTTAACAGCAAAGAAACTCAACGGCGAACACACAGAACAGGTTTTGAGAGCAGCTACATTATCCCTGATCAACAGTGACTTTAGCAGGTTGACAGGGACCTGATGGCCTCATGAAATATGTATAAAACAAAGCAGGTCATGGCTGCCCTCCGAGAGGCAGGAGAGCTGGGCAAGACCTTTCCTTGACTGCATTAATGCAGCACACTGGTACTGCATGAAAATAAGGTCTCCCAACCCTGCAGAAGTTTTTTACTTCAATTTTCAGCCGACTTTTGTAAGGAGCAAGGCATGCAGTTTCACTGTCATACCTGTCTACTAGAAACCTGTGAACCCTTTAGTCCACTTCACTAATTTTGACTGCAGGGAGTGGAGCTGTTCTCTCTCTGCCACATCTCCATGAAGGCCATGTGAACTAGCCTCTGGGCGAAGACCCTAATTAGGCTCCCCAGGAGGTGAAGATGACAAACTCAGCTAGGTTGAGGCTCTTCCAGCAGGGTCCCATATGGCAAGTCACCCTCCCACCTCCCAAAGCTTCTCAGACCTTTGCAACTATATTTTGCTGGAATATTTTTGTTGTTGTTTTTAAACAAACAAACAAACATAAAACCCCAAGGACGTACAGAGCACCATATAATTTTCTCTGCATTTCAACACAGTGCATGGTTTCACAGCTCAGTGGTGTCTATGGCCCTCCTCTACACAGCATGAATTTAGTGTAGGGGAAAACAGAGAGGATCTGGCATAAGCAGACACCACTCCCAATTTCAAAGCTGCTCTTTGGGTTGCTCTTTGGCCCCTGTGGCATGCATGCACAGCCGGGCAGCGCTGAGCTAAGCTGTGCTTTGGGATGCATCTGCCCGCAAATTCAGACAGTGCAGATGGATCACCAGTATTACTGGGACACCCGCATTACCCTCATTATTCCCCAAGCTGGCTCCTATCTTGTTCATCACAAAGCAGACAGCAAACAGGGCCAGGGTCGTCCATCCCGTTTCTTCCCACGGAGCTCAGCTGCCCACCCCTACCCTGCCCAGGGCCGTGACAGCTGCAGGGCAGCAATTGCTCCCCAGCCAGCACAGCCCTACAACTTCTGGTTGATTGCAGATAGCGCAATGTCTCCAGGGTTTTGGCCCCAAATGAAAGGGATTGCTTGGTTAAGCAGAATAAAAAGGAAGTATTTTTATGTCTCAGCCTAATCTCATAGATTAGTGTCCGTCCTGTAAATTCCTCAGCACGCAGAAGCAGATTTCTTCCTTGCGCGGCTGAAGGCAGAATAATCTCTTGCATAACGACGCGCGGTCTGGGGGACACTCATTAGCGGCTGCCTAATCCGACCGCAGCACTGACCTGAGACCCTCTCCTTCTGGCGAGTGCTGTCGGCAGTACTCCAGGGTGAAGGACTCCGCCGATGCTGAGCCAGCGCGCCAGCGGACAGTGGCCGTGTCCCAACACACCGTGCAGTCCTCGGCCTTGATGGTGGGGACAGCGGGCGCTAGGGACACAGGGACATGTTAGCCATACTACAACGAGGGTGCCAGCAGCTGGAGAAGGATGCTCACAAGGGAAAGGAAGAGTCACCTTCCCAAAAATGCCAAGGCATAGCTAGTTTTGCCCATCCAGCAGTGGTCTTTTGCTTGTTTGGGTTTCAATGGCAGAGGGCTACATCATGGGGAAAAACATCCATGCTGGGAAAGTTACTGTGAATATTTGTGCATTTCTGCACATCCTTAGAATGTCTGTGTGGATTTTGATGCCTTTCCTGAAGCACATTTTCCTCATTTCTGCCAATCTTTGAGGAGCAGAACACCAAGACAGTACTGCCTACAGCTCTCCCTGCATCACCTCAATCCTGTCCTCAGCAGTCCCTGCATAAAATGTATCAGAAACAAATGTGCTGCTGCAGAAGTGACAGGGAGATGCTGACTTTCTGCTTAATTATGTCCTGTTTATTTTTGCAATGCTAAAATTTGGTCCTGTAATTTCTCTTCTTTAGAGCCTCAGTTTAAGAAATACAGGCCCAACTGCAAGACAGAATGTGAAATAGTGCACTGAATGCAAGTAATCAAAGGCTATTATGTGAAATTGCACATCTGACTTCATAGGCTGAAAATGGATTAGTTGTATTCACTTGCTCTTTC